AAATTCATTCATAATATTATATGTATCTATTTATTTTATTTTCATAATTTTATATAATATTATAACTATATTATTTTAGGTAATTGTTTTACCATTATAAAACAAGTAATCTTTAGAAATATCCAAATAAGTCCTCCAATATCTTACAATTTATAACTAAGCTCTTATAAAATACTTTTATGTGGTAAATTAACATCTCAACTTCTTAATTTTAAAGCCATATCTAAATTGAACTAATAAGGATAATGTAATCGTGCCTTGAGTGAACCTTAGTGTGATACTTGCCCTGTACTATGTTCCTCCTATGGAGTTTTCTTGTTTCCAACATGGTAGGCTGTTGTTGAAAAAAACTAAAAGATCAAATTTGTTCCTTTTTATTATTTTTATTTTTATTTATAGTGCCTATTTGGTTAGCTTCCTAGCCTAGAAAGTTTTGCAAGGCAGGTTATTTTTGTAGGCAGATTATGTTGTTGGGGAAGGTTACACAACTCTTACGTGTTTGTTTGCTGTTTTGGCAAAATTTTCTCGAGTTTTATAGTAGATTTTATTTTGAATATAATTAATTATGTTATTTAAAGTAATCAATTATTTTGATTAAACTTGTACGTATAATTGGTCTCTTTTTATTGTATAATCTTTTTTTTAGAAATTATATTAATAAACTAATGAGCAGCAATAGAGCGAGGAGCTGTAGTTCCAATAAAGTTTGAATGCAAAATATAGGAGAGATCCGAAGGACTCTCGTACAAAATAACAAAGTCCATTAGGAACCAAAGCTCCAACCTTGGCCCGAAAATCTGCTACCATGTTCACTTTGCGATAGATATGATTAATCCTACAATTAGCAAACCTCCTCATACGAGCAATTTGCAATCATCAATCAAAGATCCGTATAAGTGCCAAGCAGTATTAGCAATATCAATTAGAATTCTTGCAGCTTTGAAATCAATTTCAATGTTGTACATTCAATTATACAAAATAAAATATAATTGGTTATAAAAACTAAACTAATCAATTATGTAAACTAAAATAATTGATGATGCACAGTATTAATGTTTAAAGTAATCGATTACAAAGTTAAAATAATTGATTATAAATATTCAAAAACTTAAAAAAGTTTTCTTACCATATTTTCAATAAGAAAGAGGAATCTAGGCTTATGCATGATTCTTTTTTTCCATAAGCAAAGTTTCTTAGTAGAGTTTGCAACAAAAAATACCAAATACAAAAATCTTTACTTTGATTAAACTGTCTTGGTATTTTTCAAAATTGTCAAGGATATTAAACTAGTACATAGGTAAAATTCTCTTTGTATCAACATTGTTATATTGGGAAAAGAAAAGGGATAATGCATGCAAAATTAGAGTAAACAACCACATGCATCACGAGACTTCATTGTTCAACTTCGGATGAATTTCTACAGGTTGAGAAATAGAAGAATTGACATGCCAAAAAAACAAAAAAAAAAACTATAAGGGTTTAGTTGTCAATGATGAAAACGTTTGAGGACTAATCTGAATTTTCCTTTTGCGCGGTCACTCACTATGAACGTTTAATACTTTAATTACTTTACCAATTAATGATTATCACAGAGATTGACGGTCAAACTAGCTTGAAAGTCTTCCCCTGATCCGTGCAATCACAATTTGGCGGGTGAGATAACTAAATGCTTGACAGGTAATCTAACCAATTCCCATAAACATTTTTTTTTTTTTTTTGAGTGTTAAATTCTCATAAACGTTTCTAAGGGTATCATGTCAGGGATTCCCATGAAAGCCTAAACCCAAGAAGAAGAAGAAGAAGGAGGAGGGGGAGGAGGTGAGTGAGACAATAAAAACCTCAAAAAGATCCAATTTTTATTTTTATTTTTAAAAAAAAAAAAAGAGAGAAAAAGGGCAAGATGGAAGGTCCACAGATGAGAAAGAAAAGAAAAGCAAGAGAATTTCAATCAATGTCCTTTTTTGAAGTGTAGAGAGAGAAATGAAAAGGGGAGAGAAAAGTGGAGAAGGGGTAGCAGAAAAGGAGGAAAATTTGGGTGAAAAGTTGAGTAGAACGGTATTATTGGTAGGGAATAGAAGAGGGGGACCCTGTACTCCACTTCCCTCCTGGAAACTTTACCACCCTCCTCATCATAGCGGCACTCAACATCCTCCCGCTGTCTCTGCAAGAAAGCTAGCGGCTACCCTCTGGGACTTCCACCACCACGACCACCACCACCACCTGTCCGCCTCCAATATGCAACGAAGTATTAACAGCAACAATGGCCGCCACCACCACCACCGCCAACGCAACCATTTCAAGGATAAGGGTATTGATCTTTCCCAATTTTTGCATGATCATTGCCCCAGTTCGGATCCCGATCAGGTATCCCTATCCCTATCCCTTTGCTGCTATTATAGATTTTTTTTTTTTGAAACTCACCAATTGACACTTATTTGGGGTTTTCTTGTTTCTGTTTAATGTTTATGGGGAGGGGCAGGGTCAGGGATGGTGATTGATTAGGAATTTAGTGTTTGTTTGGTTTGTGGACTCTTCTTTTTCTTTTTGTATTAGGACAGGAATTTGTTTTGATGGGTTATGTTGAGATGAGTAGCTTTTGTCTTTATTTTTCATATTTGGTAATCTGTAGTCGTGTGATTTACACAGTTTTTGTTTATGCAGCTTATTGCTTGTTGCAATGTTAGGTAACATTGATTGCTTGGATGTCTTAGGTTTCTTGACTTATTATTTTGTTTTGTTTAAATAAAATTTGACACATACTTCTCATTGGCTCTGCATTTGATTTATTTTCTCGTGTCTTATAAAATTAAACATTCCTGTTCAACTTTTATTACCCATTCAGTAGCACATCATTTTCTTTATCCACCAACTAGCTATTGATCAAGCTAATGTGCAAATGGGATTCTGTTTATATTTTACATTTATGTCTTAATATTCTTAACTTTGTTGTGGCTTACTAGATTTTATGTGCTGCTTTAATAATTCGGTACCTCTGTCAAATGTGCCTCATAATATTAATTTTCTGAGACATGCTACCTAATTTTTTGGGTCCTGGATGTTTATCTGCGTAATCTTATGCACTGACCAGAGTCTCTGATGGTTAAATGTAGTGTATATCTGGTTAAGTTTCTTACCGTGAGTGGCAAGAGTTGTTTAATTGATAATTCTTTTGCCTGGTGGCCCAACTAAGTGCATTAGTTGATCCATCATGTTGTGGTTGAATCTTTTTTTTTTTTTTTCTTTGGCATGTTATGTTGGAATCAATATGATGCTTTTAGCCTTTTTTGAGCGAATGGAAGAATAATTGAAGGTGGGAGTTTTTCCCCCTACCACTAATTTCTCTATTTCTTCTACTTATATCAGCCAGAGAGTGCAAGTAGTTTGAGGAGGCATATTGCTCAAACACTGATGCAACATCATCGAGCAATTGAAAGGAGTAATCATGCTCTGCAGCCTGTATCTCCTGCAAGTTATGGCAGCTCGATGGAGGTAAGAGTCTTTATTTTTCTCTAACTTTTATTGGCAGTATCTTTCTAGTATGGAAATCCATGGAATATATGAATGGAATACAGAAAGGGTGGTCCCCATTCTTGCTTTATCTGAGATTGTAATGAAATCTCAATCTCTCTCTCTCTCTCTGAGATAATAGATCCTTTTTGCTTCAACTTCCTCTTCAAGCCTCAACCATAACTTGTGCAGCTTGATATGTAAATTGATGAATTGCATGGATGGGCAACTATGATGTAAAAAGCACCTATGTTTTATATCATGTCTAGTTGCTGCATTGCAAGAGAGTGCATGTCTCTCCCATTGTATGCTATCCAAAATGTTTCATTAGTGTGTTTTCAACTAAACAAAACAAATTAATGGCACTAGTAAGTGTTAGTTGAAATTTGAGATAAGAAATTTGTTATCGATACTAAAATCACTGCAAGTTGCTGCTTTGGATTGAACTTCCATGCTGGTGTTGTGGATGATGTTTAAGTTAGTATATTGATATTAATTTGCTTAACGTGCCCTTCTTTTCAGAGTTTGAGGGAATTATATAATTGCCTACCGAGTTTTTCTGGGAATCCTGACTAAAATTTTCATATTTTCTTTATTTCTTTTCAGGTGGCACCATATAATCCTGCAGCCACTCCTGACAGTTCCTTAGACTTTAGGGGAAGGGTTGGCGAGCCACATTATAATCTAAAAACATCAACCGAATTGCTAAAGGTATTGAATCGTATTTGGAGCCTGGAAGAACAACATGCTTCTAATATTTCGTTGATTAAAGCATTGAAGACAGAACTAGGCCATGCCCGTATAAGGATCAAGGAGTTGCTTCGCGATCAGCAAGCGGACCGACATGAAATAGATGGTTTGATGAAGCAGATTGCAGAAGAAAAACTAGCCAGGAAAAGTAAGGAACAAGACCGGATCCATGCTGCTTTGGAGTCTGTCAGGGATGAACTAGAAGATGAGAGAAAGTTAAGAAAAAGATCAGAGAGCCTACACAGGAAGCTAGCTAGGGAGCTTTCTGAGGCAAAGTCTTCTCTTTCTAGTGCTTTGAAAGACCGTGAAAAGGAGAGGGAATCAAGAATGCTTTTGGAAGACCTTTGTGATGAGTTTGCCAAGGCAATTAGAAACTATGAACAGGAGGTCCATTTTCTGAAACAGAAATCTGAGAAGGATTGGACTGGAAAGGCTGATCATGATCGTTTGATTCTCCATTTATCAGAATCATGGCTTGATGAGAGGATGCAAATGAAGCTGGAAGAAGCTCAACCTGGTTTTGCTGAAAAGAACTCAGTAGTGGACAAGTTAGGCTTTGAGATCGAGACATTCCTTCAAGCTAATCGAGTAGGTACTTCTAAGCGTAATGATCATGTGTTGGCAAGGGATCGCCGGAACTCACTTGAATCTGTCCCTCTGAATGAGGCAGTAAGTGCACCACAAGAAGTGGGTGCTGAAGATGACTCAGCTGGTAGTGATTCAAATTGTTTTGAGCTGAACAAACAAGGCAATGGTGACCTAAAGCCAGATGATGATGATCAAGCGGTAAGTTGTCATATCGAGGAAATAATTAAGTCTAACAATGTTGAGAAAAAGCCTGCATCTCGTGAGAGGATTAAAGGTCAAAATCAATCCAGCTTACAAGTTAAGTTTGAGGAAAAGATGGCTTTGGCCATGGCTAATGGGAATAAAAAGTCCCAAGTGGTTGATACAGAACAGGAAAATACCGGTGTAGCTGACGCATCTGAGATAACAGTTTCTAGGAAGTTTGAGAAGGATGAAGCCACCCCAGACACTGCCCAAGAAAGGAAAAATGAGCTTGATGAGGTTCATGGAGTGAGCTCAAACTCTGTATTAGATAACTTGATAAGAAATCATGTTCCATTGTCAGAAGGAGGGAGTATGCATTCCCAAAATGATCATGGAACGTCATCTTCTAGTTTCCCTGCCAGGAGGAATCAGGCCAGCCCAGTAAGACAGTGGATGTCAAAATTCACATCCCCAGATCTTGATGCAACTGAGTCTTCTACAAAGCTGCCTCCTGGACTAAAGGAGAACACTTTGAAGGCCAAGCTCCTGGAAGCAAGGACAAAGCCACCTCGCTCACGTTTGAAAATTTTCAAGGGTAAGTCATAGAACAATTGATTGGCTTACAGCATTCTGGATTTGGCTACTCCTGCTTGGTTTGCACTCTGCAGTCCTGGGATCTGAATATTGGCAGTGATGCTTCCTGAATCTTAATGATGCCATGTTATGGTGTTCATCTGTAATACCAGAATCTCAAGCATGTACATTAGTGTAATGTCATTATGTATCTACATACGGGTACAGTTTTATATAAACCTTTGTATAATTTGAGGTTCCTTCCCACTTTTTTTCCCTCTGTTTTATCATGTTTCTCCCAAGCTATCACTCAATTTATGTAGTCGAAAGAACAAATATGGAATTTGTTTGTGAATTTTGTTGGTTGATTTTTTGAACTCTTTTGGATGTAGATAACTGTTGTTTGTTTGGTCTATAGCTGCAGCTTTTGTTAAGTGTTTCATCTAACTGTGCCTTATGTAAAAGTATTGAATTATTTTTTTTTATTTTTTTTATTTGATGATTGGTTATACAACGAAAAATAACTTTTTTTCATTCTTTATCCCACTCCATTTATATGTCATGCGATTCAAATTCAAGACTTTTTACTTCGAACGAAAAGATATTATTACTGGTCTATTTGGGTCGTTAGTTTTTTTTTTTTTTTTTAAGATATTGAATTGCACAATAAGATGTTATTTTTTTTATTCTTTAACTTATTATATTTGTATGTTATGCAACAAGTTAAAACCTTAAACGTAAGTTCTTGAGTATTGTATTAGTAGAGCTTTTATAGTAATATGGAATCATTAATTCATATAAATTAAAATGGAATAATCATAAAATCAATAAATTAGATTGAAAATCTCTATATAAGTTTTATGTTTTATTTTAAGAGCATACAAAAAAATTTAATTTTTTTGAATATATATCATAACGGTGTAGGAGTGCGGCCTTTATCACATTATTAATAAAGATTAATCTTGATGATGTGTGTACAAGTAAGCATAGACCATTTAAATAAAAATCTGAAGTTTTTAAAAATGAATATTAAAAAGGGAGTTTTTAGAGTACATATTAAACCTTATTTATTATAGTATTTGTAATTAATTATATATAAATTTTTATATAAAATTTAAATAAAATAAAATATAAAATTATAATATAATATTTTATTTTAAAATCTATTAAAAAATTATAAATTTGATATAAAAATTTATATAAAATTAATTAAAAATATATTAATTAATGAGTTTTTAAATTTTTACTGTGTTTTTAAAGCATTGGTTAGATAAATCTTATTAAAAATTACGTGCGGGACAAGGCCGGTTCTCCTGTGGTCTAAGATTAGCATGGACCCAAAAAGAAGCGGCCCACTATAATTTGGGCTGGACTTAGGGCACAACAGGGTAACTGAAATGCAGTCCTCACGGGTCACCAGGGTAACTTACTTTCCCGGGTCAAAAAACATAAATCGATTCCGCCGCGAGAGGCCAACCAAAGGTGCCGGAAGAACTGAAGGAGAGATGGCGGGGGCGTCGTTCCGGTGGATACTGCAACTCCACAGGGACGTTCCAAAGGCGGCTAAGTTCTACTCGCAAGGGCTCGATTTCACCGTTAATGTCTGCACTCTTCGTTGGGCAGAGCTCCAATCGGGTCCTCTCAAGCTTGCCCTCATGCAATCCCCTAGGTACATTTACATCTCTAAAAGTTGGTTTTAATTATTAATTTTCTCCTGAGATTTGATGCCATGATTTTTTATTTACTGGGTTGTTGAAACAGAGTTCCAGTTCCTTGATTTATACTCGTGCCACATTTTCAGAAATTATGTCATGGCAACAATGCACATGTGATGCTGGATTTTTAGTTATTTTTAGTGGATTTTGTTTAATCTCGTTTCTGAAGATATTAGATGTTGAGTTGATTGATTTGAATTGTTTTGGATTTTCATTTTTGTTTCAGAATCTCCTGTTAGATTTTGTGAATCGTGATGGATTCTTTCTGATTTTCTCTAATCCAATTTCACAGTGAACATTTAATGGAAAATGGCCATTCTTCACTATTATCATTCACAGTGACTGACATTAATAGTACAGTGACAAAGCTGATGGCTTTAGGAGCTGAACTTGATGGTCCCATCAAATATGAGATCCATGGAAAGGTAATTCCTTTATTTTCAAATGGACTTCTTCATCCTAAATTTATTATTCACATGATAATGACTTCAAGAAATCACTCAATTTGTGTGAGATCAGCTTGCAGCCGTGCGATGCGTTGATGGGCACATGATAGGCCTATATGAACCTGTATGAGACTGTTGTAAAGTCCCATAAGCACAATTGAACAAGGTAAGTTAATAACGCTTTGATTCCAGAATCTTTAATTCCTCTGAAGACAAAGAGAAGACACAAGAAACTTTTCCTTTCTTGGGGTTGCCTTCAATAATTTCAAGTGTTCGTTCATCCAAATCTATCACAGCTGTGCATAAGGTGTAAAGAGTTGGACCTGAAATCATGCCCACTCAGTTTAGCATTTGGAGACTTTAGAAAGATAGAAAGATAAAAAAAAATCTCCGCATATTTGTCTTTGGATTACCTGTCATGTAAATGGGGTATTTTTTGTCTTCTGCATCTCCAAGAAGTGACAGGAAATCTGTTTTGGAGCTTTGGGGTAGAACAGCCGCTCTTTTTTGCCTGCTTGTTGAGTTTTCATCATGTACCTTCATAGGAAACCATGTTTCCAGTTTTCAGTGTTATTGATTATATGATTGGAAATATGTGCCTGATAATGTGAAGACATGATGATGAATCTGCATTTTTTACAGAAACTACCACAGCACTATTCTTTTACTAGCCAATTGAAATTCAGCACCAATAATAATATGCTCAAGCAGTCAAAGAACTGCAGAACTAGTGTAAGGGTTCTTGTTTGGCTATATGGTGCTGAATATCGTCCTTGGCATACAAAAATGGTGTTTCTGCTTTAATGCAGTATTATAATTGGTGTGTATTTCCTTCACTT